AAATCCCAAATCCCATACCTTTCCCACCACCAAGTACTGCTGTCCAAACCCTTCATCACGGCCTAGGTGGTGGGTTCCCCAGCTTCAAGCACACTGCCTGACGCGTACTACGCACTCAGAACTTAGCTGAATGAGTGAATATCCAACAACTAGGAGAAGGCTAAGCAAATTGTGCTTGACCAACAAGATACTACAAGGCTTTTAAGAAGGAAAATGTTGATAAGCTGAAATCCACATTAGATGAAAATGCAGAACCTCATGTAAGACAGCCACAAATCTCCCAGACCTCAGAGACAGGTCTCCAACTGTTCGGCCTCAATTACCCAGAGCTGCCTCACAGGATCACCCCACCTCCAATCTCTTCCGCCCTCTCCTCAGCCACTGTCTCAAGAACCTGCAGGCACTCCCTACTGCTGACACTGGCAAATCCAAATTCTTCACCCTGGCCTTCAAGGCCCTACCAGCTGATTCCGGCTGTTTCCTGCATTACTCACTGACCCTGGCCTTTGCTGGACTCTTCCCCTCTACTCCACAGAATCCCATCTCTTTTATACTGCCATATCTAGCCTTGGCTCATGTTGGCTCCCAGTGATTGCTGGTCTCTTTCCCCCACTTTCATCAACCCTGGGTAAAAAGGGTAGTGGCTTTTTTGTTTTTTTAAATGAAAGTGGAGGGGCCGTTAAGTGCGTGCGTGCTCCGCTGCTGGCGGCCCAGGCGCGCACGGATGCACCGCTTGTCAGGCCATGCTGTGGCGGCGTCCCATATAAAGTGGAGGAAGATGGGCACAGATGTTAGCCCAGGGCCAATCTTCCCCAGCAAAAAGAGGAGGATTGGCGGGGATGTTAGCTCAGGGCTGATCTTCCTCACAAAAAAATAAATAAATGAAAGTGGATTTACATGACACTCATTTGAACCTATTTGTGATCACCAAGTTCACCAGAATCAGGCACAATCAACATGGAGCCCCATCATCAGGAACCTCTAATTCGGGTTTTCCAGTATGGCAGCAGGGAGTTGCCTTATGCGGCCTATCCAGTCCCTTTTCTGGCCTGAGGGGCCTTGAGTTTCTGGGACTCTTCCTAAAATGGCCTCCAGGGGGCAACCAGGTTGGGCTGGGCTCTGATGCCATGCCCACCTCTCCTTCCCCTCCTAGCCCCACCCCAGATCTGTCCCAGGAGTCAGGACCCCAGGTTCACTATCAGACAAGTCCCTTCTTCTCTTAGGGACCCAGTTTTTTCATATGTGAAAAAAGGGGCAGGGGGTGGCAAAACCGGATGAGAGAAAAATAATAATAAAAATAATTTCCCAGTTGGAAAAGGTTTTCCCATGAAAATTCTCATCAAATATATCCAAAGCCCCTCCTAGCCAGGACACTGCAGTCATAATAAATATACCTTAGCCATGCCCTAGGTTAGTGTGCACAGACTAACCCCATTACAACATCCCGACGTGCTGAGGTCCCAGAGTTGCTCAGGTCCCAGTCAGCTCCTGGTGAGCAGCATGTACTTGTTTCTAAGTTTCCACCAGAATGAACAGTGCTGCAAAGAACAATCTTGTATAAGCATTTATCTTTGTTCTGCGATTATTTCTCATGATAGATTTGTAGAAGCGGATTTACTGGCTTAGAGGATGCACACATTTTAAAGTTTGATACCTACTAGTTGAGAAACTTTACATGGTAATTCTCAAACTACTTGTATTTAGGCTTTACCTGGGAAATTTGTTTACAATGCACAATCCTAACACACTACCCGTCTCCCTCTACCTCCTCCCAACCCTCCCCCTCCCGGAAGTCTGGGGAGGGGCTCCTGAAGCTGCTTTGTTATCCAGCTCCCAGGTGGTTCTACTGCAGGCTAAGGGGAGGAAGAAGCTGCTCCCTTTCATTTGCCCCAATGCAGCTCATCTAGCACAAGACTTGGGAAGCACTGGCCTAGGGGGCTGCTGCTGGCCAAATCTGTGTGGAGGTCTCTGGGCTCCAGCCCAGGTCCCCAGTGGCTTCCCCAAAATTGGCAAAGTCTGGCTCTCATGCACTCGAGAACAATGCCTGGGGCCTGGCACTCAGAGCTGGGGACAGTCACATCTCCAGGTTCACCTGGCTGCACCCATTTTGCCCTCCAGGTTGCCCTTCTGAAGGTCCCTGCCCCACAAACACTCTGTGATTCCAGTGGCCAAGGCCCAGCAGTTTTACCTGTCTTACCTAAGACTCCCAAGCCTCCCTTTTTCTTTCAGAAGGCTGTAGACAGACCACCACTTCCCCAAGAAATGACTTGGGTCCTCCACTCCGGACCTTGGTTTACCTCTCGGTGAAATGGAGAGCACTGGGCAAGTAGCACTGACACGCTGGGTGTTGCTGTGAGGAGAGCAGTGTGGCCAACTAGGCTCTCAGCGCTTGCAGCGAAGCCTGGCTTCAACTGGGAGTCCAGGTGCACCTTAACAGTCATTGAATCAGTATTCTGATTGGCTTAGGACCTGTTTGGAGAAAATTCGATTTTTGTTACCAGAGTTCTCTACTGTTAAAGTGCAATTAAGACCAAAAGCCCGGGCCAGCCCCGTGGCTTAGTGGTTAAGTGCGCACGCTCCACTACTAGAGGTACAAGTTTGGATCCCGGGCACGCATCGCCGCACCGCTTCTCCAGCCCTGCTGAGGCGCCTCAGCAGGCGTCCCACATACAGCAACTAGAAGGATGTGCAACTGTGACATACAACTATCTACTGGGGCTTTGGGGAAAAAAAGGAGGAGGACTGGCAGTAGATGTTAGCTCAGAGCTGGTCTTCCTCAGCAAAAAGAGGAGGATTAGCACGGATGTTAGCTCAGGGCTGATCTTCCTCACAAAAAAAAATAATAATAAATAAAGTGATTTTCTAAAAAAAAGAAAAAGACCGAAAGCCATTTTAAGGCTGCTGATTCCCAAGCTCACGGGTCCTAGATGGGAAACCAGAGGCCCAGAAAAGGCCTCGCCCAGTTTTAGTTAGGCTGACTCTGCTGGGCTCTGAGGGTTTGGTCAGCAGGTATTTCACAGTATGTGGTAGAGAGCAAAGAGCAGGGAAGAGTGCTGACAGAGTTGGGGAAGACCAAGGGAAACGCTGGTTGGGTGCTGCGGGCAGAGGGAAGAGAAACCGTCCGGGAGAGCTGGGAGCCCGGAGACGGGCGGTCTGCCTCCTTCAAGGCTCCAGGCTCCGCTCTCCGACCCACCTGGCTGAAGGACACTGGTCGTCTGCGTGACAAAAAGCAAGCCAAGAGCCTCTCCGCAGCTCATGGGTACACCAGGGACTGCTCCATAACAGCACCTACCCCGTAACCCGAGGGCTAGACGGGGTGATACACGCGAAACGCCTGGCTCAGCCTCCTTGCGTTAGACCCTCCCGAAGCGCCGGCTGTTTTGACCTCCGGCCGCCACTGTGTGCTAGAGCCTGGAGCTGCGTGCTTCGGGGTTCTGTCTCAGGCGGCTTTCCACCCGCCTCAACGGCCCTTGAGGGCAGAACAGGGGTCGCATTCAGCGCCTGGGCCTCAGTTTCCTCCCGGTGCAATGGGAAGAAGCCCCGCGCCGGCGGGAGAGGAAGGGGACTTACGACCGTCAGCATTTGCATTACTTCTCCTCAGGGTAACGGCCCCCACCCCCAGCGTGGAGCACACAGTGGGCGCTCCGGAAATGCTCTCCGAAAGGACAGACGGACCACTTCCTGCCCCCAAGCTGACTCTCCCGAGCCTGGGTCCCCGCCACTCCTCCTCGGAGGCCATGTGGCATTCCTGAGGGTGGGGGTGGGCGCAGGAAGAAGGTGCCCTCCCGGCCCCGCCCCCTCTGGGCGCGCGGGGCGGGGCGAAGCCCCTCGCCGCCGTCGGCCCGCCCCGCGGGGGGTGGGCGTAGCTCGCCGCGCTCCGCACAAAGTTTGTTTTCTCCCTCGGGGCGGGTGGGGGAGGGCGAGGAGAGCGCGGAGGGGAGGAGAGGGGATCTGACGTCAGGCCGCGAGGTGCTTTCCAGCCGCGAGCTGTCAGGCCGAGTGTCAGGCCCGGCAGGTACGCGGCGCGCTCCCCCAGCGCCCCCCGCCCCCTGCCAGGACGCCCCGGACCGAGCCCAAGGCCGCGTGGACGGAAAAGTCGCTCGGAAAAGTCAGTACGGGGCGCAGGAGGGCGGCAGATGGGGGCGGGGGGCGCGCGGACAACTTGGAAAGTTTCCTTTTCTTGGCCGGGCGGGGGAGGGGGCGGCGTCCTGGCGCGTGCGATTGTGGGTGTAGTGAGCTCGGTTGTGTTTGTGAGTCCCGACTGCGGTGTGCCGGCGGGGGCGGGTGGGGGGCTGTCCCACCCCCCGTGAGGAAGCTCGCTTGGGCCCCTTTTCGGGGTCTCAGCTCTCTAGGATCCCACCCCGGGACAGGGCCGCCCCTGCCCCGGGCCGGGGTGAGCGCGCGGGGGGCGGGTTTGTTTGGTTTCAAAAGTGCACGTTGCTAACCGCCGGCAGGCCCCCCACCCCCCGCCGCGGCCGAGCCGGGGAGGGGGCCGCTGAGAGTGACAGCTGCGGGTGGGGGCAGCGGGAAGTGCCCGGGGCTGGGGGGGCTAGGGAGCCCGCGCGAGTTCCCCTTTCCTTTGGAACAAAGGAAAGTCTGTCTCTGAGGCATCTGTCACTCCCAGGCGGGCCAAGGAAGCGGGGCGCGTGGGGCCGGCGACCCGAAGAAAGTTTGTTCGCGCCGGGACCCTCGGGCAGGCCGAGCGCGAGCCGAGCCTCCCGCGGGCGCAGCGCGCAGTCTCCGGGCAGGGGGCGGCCAACATGGAGTCTGGGCGCAGGGCTGGGGGTGGGGGGGCGGCGCGGAGGTGGGAGCCCAGCCCCCTCCCCTCCCCCTCCGGGCCGAGTTCGGAGCACAAAGCCGAGCGCGCAGGCTCGGCCGGCCCCGCGCCCCGAAGAGTCAGCCAGCGCCGAGCGGCGGGGGAAGGGGGTGGGAACCAAACTTTTTCCTGCCCCGGGACAGACACGTGAGTTTTTTTTCTTCCAGAGCCCCCGCCCCACCGAGATTGCGGGCCCGCGGGGGAGCTGGAGCGCCGAGTCTGACGCGGAGCGAGGGGCTGAGGGGTGCAGGCGCCCCGAGCGCAGGCCGATCCCCTGCCGCCCCGGGAACCATGTGCTCCGACTCGGTCTGGGCCGCGGGGGAGGCTGCGCGCTTTGTGTGAACTGTTGGGAATGCAGCGCGAGTGTGCCGCCCGGGGGAGTGTCGGGCCGGGCTGGGGGAGTTGTCAGAAAGTTCGTGCGGGAGTGGCTGCAGGTCGGCGTGGTGGAGTGTGTATGTAGGAGGGTGCGCAGGCTGTTGTGTCGAGAGGGTGCTGCCCCAGGCCAGTTAGGGTAAGAACTGATCGCTGGTGTGATGACGTCTGGCGTTTTCCCAGTCAGAGATCGTGGGTGGGCGGGTCGGTTGGAATTCGTGGGTGGGCATGTGTCCAGGATTGGGCTGGTTTTGTGGGTACCAGTTGTTCGCGCTAGACGTGGGATTTGTAAACTGTGTGTGTGCTGTCTTTGTCTGTGAAAATCATGGGAGTTCCAGGGGCTGAGCGATGGGTTGGTGCCAGTTATCTGAGTGGCTGTTAGAGAGTTGCCTGGTGTGACGGTGTGAGTGTGGGGTGTATATGTGGGAAACCTCCCGGATTGGTAGCGGACTGTGGTGCAGGATACTATGGTGGAGAGAGAAGTCTGTGTGGACTGAGGAGTCATCTCCACGGGCCACCCCTGGAACTCTGCAGACTGGGACTTGGCTGGCAGCCAGGGTGGAATTTGTATAGATAACCTTGAGTAAACTCACAGCCTGCCAGGGCTGCATCCCTGAGCCCAGATCCCAACTGTCCTGGCCAGCTAGACCTCAGAAACCTGACCTCAGACAGCAGCCTGCTCTTGGTGCTGAGGGGCACCTCTAACCAATGCCTGTCTCACCTCCAGGTGGCCTGGCTGGGAGGGTGGACCCTTCCCTCGAAAGCCTGGGCTAGCCAGCCCAGATATCTGGGCTCAGGCCCAAGTCGAGGAAACAAAACCTGGGAGATGCCAGAGTCTGTTGGCCCAGCCTGCTGGGGAGCTGTTAAAAGGCTGAGGAGGGAGGAGCCTTGAGATTCTGGCATCAGCTTGGCCTGGAACTTTTGGTTTTAAAATGTAGATCGATGAGGCATGTGTGAACAAGAAGTTTGTCAGTAGGATGAACAACTGAGTTGGGTTGTCTAGGGAAACATCTTCCTTCATTTGACAGGTGAACAGGGGGCTCAAGCCCAGAGAGGGGAGGACACTTGCCCATGGTCACACAGGCAAATTGGAGGGTCCAGAGCTAGCCTTGTTGATTTATCTGGATTTTTGAGGAGTTGATTCTGGGACCGGGCCAGGGGCTAAATGACAAAGGAAAATGTCTGAGATACAACCAGTAGGGATGACTCGACACTCTCTCTGCAAAGTACAGAGTAGGTGCACAATAAATGTTACATGGATTGCTGTAGGACCATGGTAATTGATAGATTTTCCAGACTCCTCACTGCGTCTTGGGAGACCTAGGAGGCAAGATGGTATAAGGTGGGCGGGAAGGGGGTGACAAACTACCTTGGTCCAAACCCTACTTCCACACCATATCCTGGAGGTGAGATTTTTTTTCCATAGCAGCTTTATTGAGATATAATTCACATACCATACAACTCACCCATTTAAAGCAAACAAATCAGTGGTTTTTAGTATGTTCACAACTATACAACTATCACCACAGTCAATTTTAGGACATTTTTATCACCTCAAAAAGAAACTCCGTACCTTTTACCTATCACCCTTCTCTTCCCTCTCCAGCCCATTCTGGACATTTCATAAAAAATGGAATCATATAATATGTGTTTTTTGTGATTTGCTTCTTTCACTTAGCGTAATATTTTCAAGGTTCATCCACACTGTAGCATGGATCAGGACTTCAGGCCTTTTTATGGCCAAATAATATTCCACTGTATGGCAGACCACATTTTGTTTATCCATTCATCTGTTGATAGACACTTGGGTTGTTTCCACCTTTTGGCTATTATGAATGATGTTGCTGTAAACATTTGTGTACAAGGTTCTGTGGGGGGGGCTGGCCCCATGGCGTATTGGTTAAGTGCGCACACTCTGCTGCTGGCGGCCCGGGGTTCAGAACCCCGGGCGCGCACCAACGCACGGCTTGTCAAGCCATGCTGTGGCGGCGTCCCATATAAAGTGGAGGAAGATGGGCACGGATGTTAGCCCAGGGCCAGTCTTCCTCAGCAAAAAGAGGAGGATTGGCATGGATGTTAGCTCAGGGCTGATCGTCCTCAAAAAAAAAGAAAAATTAAAATTAAAAAAAGATTCTGTGTGGACATAGGTTTTCATTTCTCTTGGGTAGATATACCTAGGAGTGAAATTACTGGGTCACATGGTAACTGTTTAATGGCCACAGTATCTTGGGTGACTTTCCTAATCTCTCTGGGCCGTGGTTTTCTCATCTATAAAATGATAATAGTAGTGTCTCTCTTACAAAGGCTTTATGAGGATTGAATGAGATAATAAATGTAAAGTGCTCAGTACAGAGCATGGAAAACATGTCCATGGTAGTTGTAATTACTTCGTCTGGTACTGCTTTTTTTTTTTTTTGTGAGGAAGATCAGCGCCGAGCTAACATCCATGCCAATCCTCCTCTTTTTGCTGAGCAAGAACGGCTCTGAGCTAACATCTATTGCCAATCCTCCTCCTTTTTTTCCCCCAAAAAAAGCCCCCAGCAGATAGTTGTATGTCATAGTTGCACATCCTTCTAGTTGCTGTATGTGGGACGCAGCCTCAGCATGGCTGGACAAGTGGTGCGTCGGTGCGCACCCGGGATCCGAACCTGGGCCTCCAGTAGCGGAGCATGCGCACTTAACCGCTAAGCCACGGGGCCGGCCCTAGTCTGGTACTGCTTATTAATGAGCTGCCATTTATTTCAGTAGGCATCTACTGACCCCATGAAATGGAGGCATTTTGGACTGAGGCCTTCTAGCTTGCTCAGGCTATGGTATGGCCTGAGACTTTGAATTTCAATTCTCCTGTTTCTGGTGTCCCAGGCTCTAGTAATGGTGTGTATGGAGACTAGGAAAAGGTGAGAGGCCATGCATGGTAATAATATCCCCATCCCCTTTGTCACTTGTTCCAGGCTTGCCGAGGTCCAGCCTAGCCTCTAGACACCATGTCAGACAGTGATCTGGGCGAGGATGAAGGTCTCCTCTCCCTGGCAGGCAAGAGGAAGCGCAGAGGGAACCTGCCCAAGGAGTCGGTGAAGATCCTCCGGGACTGGCTGTACTTGCACCGCTACAATGCCTACCCCTCAGAGCAGGAGAAGCTGAGTCTTTCTGGACAGACCAACCTGTCAGTGCTGCAGGTAAGGAGCAGGTAGCAGGAGACCTGGGTTCTAGGACACACTGTGTGGCCTTGGATGGTCACTTCCCCTTTCTGGGTCTCAGTGTCGTCTTGGGTCAGATGAGAACACCTACTCTCCCTGCCTCAAAGGAAGACAGTGACGTGAAACCATTACAACTAGATTTCAGCTTTTAGAGCATTCTAAAGAGGCAAAGAATCAATATTAACGTCTAGGTGTCATCATCAACATTGGAGGCGGTGAGAAGGCATTGAGTGTCTGGGATTCCAGACACTGGGATTGAGACTGAGCTTCCAGCCCCAGAGCAGTACTTGGATGGTGACTTGGTTGCAGGGGACAGCTGGGATCAGCAGTGTGGTTAAAAAATGAGTTGGGCTGGCCTGGTGGTGCAGTAGTTAAGTTCGGCGTGCTCCGCTTTGGTGGCACCAGGGTTTGCAGGTTTGGACCCCGGGCACAGACCTACACCACTCATCAAGCCATTCTGTGGTGGCGTCCCACATACAAAAAATAGAAGAAGATGGGCTTGGATGTTAGCCCAGGGCCACCCTTTCTCAAGCAAAAAAAGAGGAAGATTGGCAGCAGGTGTTGGCTCAGGGCATTTTCCTCACCAAAAAAAAAGAGTTGGAATCATGGTCAAGGAAAGGGCAGAAGCCAGGAGTTCTGGGCTCAAAACCCAGTTCTGCCACATAGGAGCTGGGGACCACATCCTGATTTTCCCATCTGTAAAGTGGGGGTTAGAATCTTCCCCTGCCTGACTGAACTGTTGTGAGGAACAGATTCAGAATTGGATATGAAAGTGCTTTGTAAACCATGCACATGAGCACACTCAAAAGATCGTGTTATCCACTTTTTGTCAGAGTGCAAGGTCATTATCTCCTCTGAATTGCCCGACTGCTGACCTACAGGTGTTTTGGTTCTGTTTTCACGGTGCTGAGGCAGGACACCCTGGACTACCACTGCCTTGCCTCCAATTTAGTTCTCACGTACCTGGGAGACACAGGGCAGGCCCTCAGCCTAGCAAAGGCCTACCGCCTGCCCCACTGGCCCCTACTGCTCCCTTCATGAGCCAGCCAAGCCTCTACCCCAACCCCTCCTGCCTCCCTTTCCACCTCTGTTGTTTTCTAGCCCATTACTTTAATCCGTGGTGCTGTCTCTTCCTCCTTCCCTTACCCTACTCTGAGCCTCCCATGTCTTCCCAGCTTCTGTCCCTCCTCCATGAAGCCTCATGGTGAGTATTCAGCCTTCAGAACTCCTGTCACCTGACTTTATACTCGCTGGGCAGTGGTTAATCGGAATCTGTCTATGAGAAAGGCTTTAGTTACAGATGCTAACTCAGATCCCATCTTCTTCACAAGAGGAAGCCTGGAGCTTGGCCAGTCACTGCCTCCTCTCTGAGCCTCATGTATCTTCATCTGGAAAGGGAGATGATTATAGCACTTTCATAGTGTGTAAGGAGGAGGAACTGAGAAGAATTAAGGCTCACTGTGAGGTGTTTGGCATAGAGTGGGTGCTTCTCCTCTCCTTTTCATCCTCATCTCTCCTATATCATAGGTCTTGGACTGACCCCAGGTGTCTAGCAGGGCCTGGCATCTCACAGTGTACTGCCAAATACCCCACTATGCCCATCTCTGTGCTGGACAGAGTTGGGATCTCAGAGAGGAACCAGACAACATTCCTACCCTCAAGGAGTGTCTAGTCTGGGATGGGAAGCAAGGGAAGACCTGGCCACTGATCTCTGCAAAAAATGATCACAGCTGGGACAGAAGTCAGCAGAGACCCGGGGCAGGGCTTTGGAGCTGGCCTGGACCCTCAAAAGGCCTCCCAGAAGAGGTGGACTTGAATTCACAGGATGTAGAACACAGGCCAAAGGCTGGAGCCTGAAAGTCAGGATTACGTACCGAGCCTCGTTGCTGCTCTTCCTGCCTCCAGCCTTGTTCCTTCAGTACACTCTCTTGAACACAAAAGTGCAAATCTGATTGTGTCACACACTCCATGGACCCCACTGTCCTCAGGATAGAGTCCAAACTGCTTCGGAGCTTACCAGCCTCATCTCTCAGTTGTTCCTGTCCATGGGGCCCTCGACCCCTTGGGCCTCCAGGCCTTTTCCTTGGCTTCTTCCTGACCTTTCTCAACCGGGGTCACTCCATTTAAGCATTTTCTCGTGAAAGCATTTTCTGACTCCCCCATCCTAGGTTTGAGGCCGCCTTTGTATTCCCAGTGTGCCTTATACCCTGTGCTGTCAAACCACTTGTCACACTGTATTGAAACTGCTTTTTGTCAGAGACACTGTTTCTCAAATCTGAGTAATGTACCAAATCCTTTTAAAGAAAATATTTTTCAGGGACCGCCCTTCCCCCCAACATGTTGACTTGAGTCGTTTTTATTATCACATCACTTAAGCATGTACAAACATAAAACTGAGTAAAAAACTTGCTTTTGCTCTTATACACAGCTATAAAAAACCAAATAGTTTTCCAAAGTTAAGTAAATGTAAAACCAATGAGATTCCGTCTAACTGCACTAATATAAGATGGTGGATGGTGTTTGCTGACAGAGCTGTGCTGTGTAGGATGACAGAGGCACTGACTCTGGAGTTGAGCAGGTCTGGGTTGCCACAGGCCACGGTACTCCTACTTGTGATCAAAATAGAAAGACAAAGTCAAAACGTTCTTGTGGAGAACTAGTGGACCCCTAGAATGACACATCCCCAGCTCCCACTTAGAGAAATGTACGTCTGGGGCAAGGATTAGCTGCTGGAGACTTCTAAGCAAGGGCCGGCTGGGTCCCAATATCCCCTGGTGAGTGGGGCTCCAGTGGTGGCCACGCTGCTTTAGAGTCATGCTGAGCGTTAAGGAGCAGTGGGGACCATCTGGCACTCCTTGATGGAAACTGTACCATGAATCTCAAACGGCCCCCGCCATACACCTCTGTTGGAGGTCTTACAGGCACCTCAGATTTCCTTATTGATAAGTGATAACCCTGCCAAGCTGGCTCCTTCCCTTTCTAAGAGGTTCCCCTTGATAGCCCTTTCTCAGCTCATTTGGTCAGTCACCAATTCCTATACATTTACTCCTTAAATATTTCTGAATATGGCTTCTTTCCTACCCTAGTCCAACCTATCATTGTCTGATCACTTGTCACCCCCTACTTAAAACCCTTCAATGGCTCCTGCCAACCTAATGACAACATCACCTGTCCCTATCTACATAGTGGGGCTCATCCCTGGCCCCCCCATTCCTGCCACGCTGATCTATACCCCAGAGCACTTTGCTCCCGCCCCTGACCAGGGAGACTCCTAGCCCTAAGAGGAGGTGTGTGCTCCACAGCACCCGGACTGGGTCAGCCTTTGGACACTTGACTAGAATTGCTTTTTAGGACACACTAAACTCCAGAGGCCTAGTCTTACTGATCACTATATCCCAACTGTTTAGCTCAGTGCCTGGTGTCTTGTAGGTGCTCAGAAAACAAATGCTGAAGTGACAGAATATGAAGATAAAGTGTTGGAAATGTCAACAGTCAGGACCTCAGAAGTAAGGAAATGTAGTGGCTCCTCAATCTGGAAAAGTTGGCTTAAGTCCCTGGAGGCAGCTCTTTTTCCTGTATTTAATTTTTAAAATTTCATTGTTTATTACAAACATTTGCAAATATCCACAAAAGTAAGAGAATATTATAATGCACCCCTGGTACCAATCACCTGGCTTGACAAGCATCAACTTTTTGCCAAGCTTGTTTTCTCTCTCCCTGGAGACATCTCTTTTCATTGTCTCCTTTAACCCGCCCCAGAGCGATCTCATTAGCAAGTCAATGAGTCATTTAACTAACTGGTTTGCTGGTACTTGCCTGGGGCGAGGCAGTTGGGAGGCTCAGACCAAAAAAAAGTTGTTTGTGAAGGACTTTCACAGGTCCCTGTGACACCCTCTAAGCCCATTTTATTGCTGTGGTTTCTGACTGTTCTAAGGGGCTGCCTCTTGGGCAGGGAAGGTAAGTGTGGCAGGGAGATTCAGGCCTCATTCCTGCACTCTGTCATAGTGACTGGGGGTATACTGTGTGTCAGGCCCAGGGCTGTGTGCTGGAAACACAGCGATAAAACAGGCACTGTCCCTGCCTTCGGGTAGCCTCCTGGGGGAGGGAAGACATCTTTTAAAGGTCTAAGAATTCAATGTAATTAATTACCAGTGTGTTGTCAGCTGAGCTGCCCTGGTTGTTAGGAAAGGCTTCTCTGGGGAAGCTGCATTTGAATGGAGTCCTGACAGCCCTGAAGGAATGTGGAGGTGAGGGGCTGCAGTTCCTCTGATATGGAGCATAAGGCAAGAAAGGAGCCTGGTGCAGAAGTTGTGGCCTGCTGTGTGGTGAGGGTTGGCCTGGTCCTCACTGACACTTTATCGATGGAAGCTGCTCTCCTTACTCTGGCTCCAAAGCTAGCTGCCTCCCAGTTCTTCCCACTGGCAACCTCTGTCTCCCCACCTTCATCTGTGTATATATTTTTTGAGCTTTTGTGTAAGCTTTTTTGCTTAAATAAAGGGCTCGACCTACCAGGACAAGTTAAACCAGTGGGTTAAACTATTGGTTCCTAAGCTGGGCAGCAGAAGTCTGGGGAGCTTGTTTAAAAACACACATTCCTGACTCTGTCCCCAACCCACACTGGATCTATAAAGCTGAGGAGAAATAGATATTTTTAAACATCACCCTCAAGGTGATTCTAACACAGCCAGCTGCCTTTAAGAGCACCTGGATATGGGTGGTCACAACACAAGTGGAGGTACCGTGATGTTTGGCAAAGGTCTCTCCACACCTTCACTTCTCTCTCCTCTTTTGCTTCTGTCTTTCACAGCTGAAAAGACATTAAAATTAAAGCACTTGTGTCGCCTTCTTCAGATGCTCCATCCTCATGGCCTTCATCAGCTTCCTGCTGCCCCTCCCATTCCCATTTGCCACAGTGATTCCTCCTGTGTCCTTCATCTCAGCCACTGATAAAAAATACTGGTAGGGCAGCAGCCTTTCACATAGGGCCCAGTTTTATGGTAGAGACAAGCTTTCAGGGATCCAGGCTGTGTTTTTTCATATCAATCAGAGAATTCACCTTGGCATTTTCCCTACCACCTCCTCAAGGACCTTGAGTAGGGGCAAGTCACATGCTCTTTTCCTGACTTAGGCATGGGTCGGGCAGCTGGAAGGGGCTATAGAAAATCCTGATAGCCCGTTATCACAGCTGGCACTGGTGGTGCAGCTGTGCCTGCACCTCCTGCCTTTGCTCGGCCCCCCTCAGCTGTGCATTTCTATCGGATGAGAAGACAAAACAGACAGCGGGCTGCCAAGTTTTCTGTGGACCAGGGTGAGTGTGTGGGAGAGTGTGTGTGTGGGGGTGTTTTTCTGCTGTTCTCTTCTCCGAATTATAAGCCAAAGTGGGAGGTGCAGCTAGGGGCTGGGTGCCCACACAGCTGCTAGTAAATGCCCAGGCTCCCCTCCCGGAGACTGCTTTCTCAACAAAAACATTCATCCCTACTTCGCTTGACCCTGGTCACTGAGACCTGACTGTTTCCGTGTATACAGGGGTGAGGTGGAGAGGTGCAGTGCTCTCCTGTGGCACAGGTGGCTGAGGCGGCGGCTGCGGGGATGGAGGGATGGAAGCATCTGAGCAAGGAGAAAAGGCCTCAGGCTGACTCTTCAGTGTTGTCTCTTCACCTGGCAGTGGTGGTTGCCTGGAACCAGGCTGTCTGGATCAGATCCCAGTATTTGCGCTTGTGACCTTGAGCAAGTTACTGAACCCCTCTGATCAGGGCCTCTGTTTCTTCAAAGGTTCAATGGATAAAATGGAGATCATCACAGAACCTGATAGGCTGTTGAAGATTAAATGAGTAATTAGATGGGAAATGTTTAGAACAGCACCTGATATGTTTTGTGTTGAACAAATGTTTGCTTTTAGGATTAGGATGATGATGATTCTGTTTGATAAGACAGAGCAAAGCAGAGTAAGAACAGAAGTAGGGGCCCTAGAGCCAGGAGACCTGGGTTTGAGTCCCAGCTCTGCACTCGGAAGCTATGTTACTCTGGGCAAGTTCTTTCATCTCTTCCAGTCCCCATCCCCTCTTTAGTACTTGGGAGACACTGCTCACTACCTTCTAGGCTTGTATGCAGATTAAACATAATGCAGGTGAGATAGCTGGCATGATACCCGGTATCAAAGATGCTTAATTAGCTCCCTTCCTTCGTCACACCCAAGCCGTTCAGCCTTACCTCTCCTTGGGGCTTCCCTGCAACTCTAGCCAGGATTCAGCTCAGCCGGTGTCTGTTGATACAGGCTGTTGTGTGTGTGCTCAGTTGTACCAGGAGGACCATAGAGGTGAAGATGGGTAAATGAGAACCCAGGGGCAGGGTCCTTTCAAGCTGAAATGGGGAGGGAGAGAAGCCACAAAAAGGCTCTGGCTCTGCCCTGCCCAGGAGCTTTCCCAGCCTGACAGGGCCAGGGGCCAAGCGCTGTCCTTGGGTCACCTATGGAGTGAGTGCCGTTGCAGCCTGCTGGACCAGGAGCCAGGCCATCTCCTGTCATAGGTGGCTCTCCCTTTGGCAGGGTGGAGGCAGATACAGTCCACAGGAAGATGGTACCCAAGGGCTTGCCTGGGTATGACCCAAGAAAGGTGATAGGTAGGAGATGAAACTGGTACAGGAGCCCTGAGGAGAGCTAGGCCTTTGATCCAGCCAGCAAACATTAGAGGTATGTTAGGCATTGCTGCAGCCCCCACAGTTCCTAACATCCCAGCACACAGGAGGGGAAGGGGAGAGGGCTCCTGTGTTTTCTTCCCCCTACAGCAACTGACACATTCTCTGTAAGTATCTGTTGATAAACTGAGAGGAGAAAAGAGACATGACTAGGAGAAGGACCTAGAGTGTGAAATTTAGGTCAAGCCACTATTTAGGCCTTTTAATGGTATACAATGGTGTTCTGGCCTAGTGGGATCGGCCCTGCCTACTTCTGTCAGTTCCTTAAACCAAACCCTTTCCTGCCTCAGGACCTTGGCATTTGCTGTTCTCTCTGTCTAGAACATTCTTCCCTTAGCTTTCTGTATGGCTGGCTCTTTCCTATCCTTTAGGTCTCAGCCTTCCCAGACCCCTTATCTACGGAAGTCTCTCTTATCTTTATATGCTACCCTTTTATTCCTGTCTGTTTCCCTCCTGGCACTTATTGGTGGCTATTCACCGTATTTGTTCATTGCCATTCTCCACAACTAGATCGACTGTAAGCTCCACAGGGCCGAGTACATGTTTGTTTAATTCACAAAGACATCCCCAGCACCAAGAACTGGGCCTGGCACATAGGAAGCACTCAATAAATATCATTTGAGTGAGCACGAAGCTTTGAAAGGGAAAGCGACAGGAAAATGAGAAGTTCTAACTTGACTGTTGTAGTGAATAAAATAAGCTGGGCTCTGGGGCCCTGTGACAGCCTGAGAGAAAGATTCAGAGAGGAGGGGCTCCCGCTCCTCCAGATCCGAAGGCCCAGGCTTGGGGATCCCTGGCTGGAGGTGGAATCCTGCCTGATGTCTCTAGCCTGAGCTTTAAGTATGTTCATCAGTAAAATGGGAATTGATCAAACTCTTCGGGCTGACGTAACTGTTAGAAGAAAATTGTGTAGATGTACAGTGCTCGGTAAATGGCAGCTATTGGTAAACTCTTCTCAGTGAAGGCTCCCCAAAAGATGCCTAGACGTGTGGATATCTACTAGGCCACATCCCTGCCCCATGCCCCCCACACACCCACAGTTTCCCCTGTTTCTTCTCTCCTGCTCCTGAGTTAGCAAGAAAGTAATTAGGCAGCTTTTCCCCTATGGTGGCCCCTCCAGTGGAGGGCAAGAGGGAGAAGGACTTGGATAAAAATGATAGGGGTTGTATTTGCCTGTTTAAGGAAAGAGTTAATTTTTAAAACATGTTTTGTATTTATGAGTTTACACCAGCCATGCAGCTAAGAAACTGTTTTCTAGTCTAATCCATAATGGGTTTTAACTAATGCCCAGGTGAGCTATTATAGGATTGCTTGTCACATCTCCAGGCCATTAGGAGTAAATGAGAGGAAAGAGGGTATAAGTGGCTGATCTTTTAGATAGTCAAGAATGATGCCACGATTAGGTGCCTGCTGCTCCCGGGTGTGCAGAAACTATTCACATTCCTACTGAACAGTTATCTACCCTGATGGCGTCATTCATTCATGTATGAAAAGAAACTGCTAGGCCTTACACCAGCCATAGGTGAATAGAGATATGTTTTGAATCCATTTCCTCTACTCTGGCCCTATCTCTAATATCTTAGATCAGCCAAGACTTAGAGGAGTAGGCATTCTCCAAGTGGAGAAGAGAGCATTCCAGAAAGAAGGAAATGTGATATACAAAAGTCATGGAGCTATTCGAAAAAAAAAAAGCATAGGCCCTGAATGAGGGCTGGTGAGCAATTTCACATGCTGAAGAATACAGGGCTGGAAAGATAGGGGAAGGTTTTAGCACCCAGGCTCAAGAGTCTGGACTGAAGCCTGTAGGAATAGGAGACAAATGGCAGCTTTCTAGAACAGGAATAACAGTCACTGCATTTTAGAAAGAGAAGTGACAACCAGTGAAGAGGCTGGACTGGAGGGCCATGAAACTGGAGGCTGTTAAAAGAGAGTCCGGACAGATATGGGACAGGGTGCTAGATATGTCTTGGCTTTGCAGCATACCACTTAACAGTGAGAAATTTCATGCCTCATGCATAGGTCTAAAAAGATTGATTTAAACAATGAGCTAGATGAGAATGGGGTCAAGGTTAATGGTAGCTTTCTCAGCAACATGTAGGAAAAAAAGACTTAAGGATGTTGGTTGAATGCACATTCAGCTGGAACCACTGATTCTGGTTTTGCTTGGAAACAATTTTTTCTTCTAAAACAATTTTTTCACGGTACCTTAGTGTCTTTGTGGCTCTTTCTCTGGCCTGCAGCAAGACCCTGCTCTAAACACTTAGGAGTGAATCATCCTTGGCACCATCCCCTCCTCTTTCATACACCCATATCCAACTGGGCACAAGATCCCGTCATTTCCAGTTTCCCAAACAGATCAAACAATCATCATCTTCTCATCACCTCCGTCAACGTAATTTTAACTACTAACCTTTCTCCCTGCTTCCACTCTGTTCTCCACATAGCAAGTCGCTCTTTTGCTTAAAACCCTCTTTCGGCTCCTCTTTGCCCTTAAAATAAAGAACCAAATCCCCACCGTAGGAGGTAACCTCTAGTTACCACTCTGAGCTCCAACCATACAGGCCTTCCTTCTCTGAGTTCCTCATAGGCATTCTACTACCACCTGCCACGGGGTCTTTTCAGGGTTGATCCCGCTAAATCGAAAGCTCTTCTCCCTTCCTGCCTCCCACCTAAACTACTGCTTACCCTTCAGATAACAACTTACCAGCCATTTCCTCAGAGAATACCACCCTGAGTCCATAAAGACTACATCAGATCTTCCCATTATTGTCTCCAACAGCCCCATTGTACCTTCCCTTCACTGGCTGAATCACAGTTGCAATTTTATATTCATTTGTATGATTTCTTCTTTACCTGTCTCTTCCCAACATGAACCTGAGGGCTGGGATTGTGTCTGGCGTTTGCTGCTGTGTTCCTGGAGCCTGGAACATAGGTACTTCATAGCTGGTTTTGATTCAGTGAACTGATCACAGTCTCTTATACTCATTCCAGATATGTAACTGGTTTATCAACGCCCGCCGACGGCTTCTCCCAGACATGCTTCGGAAGGATGGCAAAGATCCCAACCAATTCACCATTTCGCGCCGCGGGGGTAAGGCCTCAGATGTGGCCCTCCCCCGTGGCAGCAGCCCCTCGGTGCTGGCTGTGTCCGTACCAGCCCCCACCAATGTGCTCTCCTTGTCTGTGTGCTCCGTGCCGCTCCACTCAGGCCAAGGGGAAAAGCCAGCAGCCTCCTTCCCACAAGGGGAGCTGGAGCCTCCCAAGCCCCTGGTGACCCCTGGCAGCACACTCACCCTGCTGACCAGGGCTGAAGCTGGAAGCCCCACAGGTGGACTCTTCAACACGCCACCACCCACACCCCCAGAGCAGGACAAGGAGGACTTCAGCAGCTTCCAGCTGCTGGTGGAGGTGGCGCTACAGAGGGCTGCTGAGATGGAGCTCCAGAAACAGCAGGACCCATCGCCCCCATTACTGCACACTCCCATCCCCTTAGTCTCTGAAAACCCCAAGTAGGCACCTGCCAGTAGGGGTGCTCGAGGCTCGAGCCAGCTGTCCTGGGTTTCCGTTCTGGTTCCCTTTCATACAGAGGGTTTTCTTTGGATCACTGCCAAACATCAGGATCATCTCCTCTGTTCAGAGGTCTTCAGCAGGAAGACACCAGCTGGTGTCACTGCACTGTGATGGGGACCTCTCCTCTGCTGACTCTGCCATTTCTCCAGGCCTCCTCAGTGATGAGACCAAGAGATATTGGAGACAGGCATGGTGCTGCTGCTGCTGCTTCTCCAGAGAATCCCCGGGACACCTTTGTCCCAGCCTGCTTTCCTGGGCTGGGCACAGGAAACCTGCCAAGTTCAGACCTATGCTGGGTCCAGGTTGCCCCTGAGCTGGGCCTCTTTTTGTTAAGCCAAGTGTGGACATTCCAAGTTCATAAGTGTGAACAAAAGAAAAGAGGAACCCAGCACATGTAACAGAACCGACTCCAGTTGAATGTTTAGGTTTTCACTAAACTTTGTGTTTATTTTTCCCTTTTTGCTGTGGTTTGCATTAATGGGAGTAGTTAGCCCAGGTGTGGGGAATGAGAGTGCGTTGCATGATGGAGTCTGATGAACTGGGAATGATCCACCACTGCAATTGGTGATTGTTTTACAAGGAAGGAGTATTTTTATTTTGGGGACCAGCAAAATCTCTGCAAAATTCCAAATGGTTGTTTTATTGTTGGTTTGGTTTACCAAAAAAAAAAGCAGAAAAAAACTTATAGGCTTTGGCTTTTCTGCATCAGGTACAGAAGAGGATAAAGCCACAGCTAGAGAGAGGGTCCAACAGAGAATCTGACCAAACCTTCTAGGCGCAGAGCAGAGAAGGATGACAAAACCAGAGAGGTGTTTGTTTTTTTTTATTTTTGTTTTTACTGTATTTGGGGGGGATGGGGGAAGTAAGCTAGACTGAGGCATTGGGTTTTTTTTTTTCTCTTTAATGTTTTCCCCTTCTTTATCCTTGAAAGCTTTGCCCTGCAACCTGAGTTTTGAATTCCTTTAGGAACTTGGATTAGTGGGGCCAGAATGTCAAAAGCTCCCAGTAGCTCCACTTGGAGAGAAGTGAGCCATCTACTGGTCAGGAAGCCCTTGTAGCTGACTCAAATGGGCAGCTTTTCCCACGATGGTGGCAGGAAACTCTTCCTGGAGGAAGCAGGCAATAGAACCCCCAGCTGCCTGAGGAACTGCCTTCAGAGGAGGCTGGGGCTGGAAATCGGTTATGAAGCCTGTTCGCAGTGAGTGTCTTTGTGTTGCACCTTTCTTTCAATTGGAGTTGCAGAGGCTCCTGCCCTGAACTTCACAGTGAAACAGATCACAGTTGGTCTTATTCTCCTTCCTCCTCCCCAACTTTTATTTTGCTGTTTCATTGCTGACAGCATTCAACAACAATATACCCCATCTTTATATATCCTAAGAAACACTAATCCTAGGTTATTATTAGCCGAAATATTTTTGTTCTGAATAACATTGTTACTGGGCCAAAAGACAGGTCAGGAGCCCCAGCCTGTAGTTTCCTCAAGTTGCCAAGTTGGGCACATGGGGGAGAGTTCCTGGGTGTTGGCTGACTTGGGTGGGCCTGGTCAGGAGAAAGGCAGCAACATATGCTCTGCCCTTTCTAGAATGATCCCTGCAGCCTTCAGGGAGGCTCCTCTACTTCTGAGTGGCTTGGCCCACCCTTCGCTTTGGGAGTGGGGATTGGTTATTTAAGGAGAGAGAGCTTTGCTCTCTGTGAGTGAGCAAGTTTCCTAGGCTCCCTCTTGCCTCCCTGCCCGCTCCTTGCATGCCCCGGGGGGATCAGGGATCCTCACCCTCCTGAGGCCCAGCTGGGTAAGAATGAACAAGGCAGCTTCAAGGTTAGTTGAAGCTGCTGTTTGCTCAGCCTCCTCCACCCCACCCGTGTCTGTGAGCCCAGATCTGTGTGACTGTTGCAAGATGCTTGAAGCAGGGGACTCTGGAAGTGTATTGGGCTGGGGTGGGACTTTTCCTTCCCACAGTGCACTGAGCAATGGAGGTGGTGAGGGGTGAGAGAGCCATGCTGCTGAATTCTGGTTGGCATTCCCCCCTCGTGCAAGATGGGGAGGCTGGGGGTGGGGCAGCCTCTGCTTGGTTTGGTTGTGAGATAAACCTGGAGGAGAAGCACAGTTATCCCGTTGAATTATTTGAGCAAAAAACTACTGTAAATAACTTTTGTTTTTGTCTTTTGTCAAATAAAGTTGTTTTTCGTTTTTGTTTTGTTTTGTTTTTAAAGCAGACACAGATTGATCCACTGTGACCCTGTGCCCAGTCTGGAGATGGGGTAATTGCTGACTTATTACTCCTTGTTACCTCTTGCACCTTCCCTCTAGTAGCCACCTGTAAGAGCTGTGCACCCTGCATCCTTATTTCCTTGGCCTCAACCAGGTTCCATGACCCATTCATCACAGTCTTGCAAGGGACATATGCGTCCAAGCTGGACCAGTTTCCCCTGGGTTCAACAGTCAAGCTTTGGGGTTGCTGAGTGGTGAGGGAACTTAAGGGAGCTGGCCACTGTGTCCTCCCTCTCTCCCAATGAAGAAAGAGCATGACTGCGATATGAAGCCAGCACAGAAAGAAGCAGAGAGGAGATGGATGCTCTAGTCATGTGCAAAACCAGTGCCACATCTGGACTTCATATTATGTAAGCTAGTAAATTCCCCTTTTTGCTTAAGCTAGCTGTGGGATGCATTTCTGTCATAATGAAATGAGTATGCATTGTAATTGCAGCCCAAACAGTGCAAAATCAAGGTCTGCAACAGTAGTAAACAATGAGGCTTGCTATGTGCGTGGTCCTGCGTAATGTTCATTACCTCTTAACTTTTGTACACACAAAAATTAAAAAATTTTGTACACACACTCATAAGTGAGATGCCCTTCTCATAGGTAAAGAAACTGGAGATTTAAGTTACTTGCGTACTTACACAGCCAGTGTTAAGTGGAGCTAGGATATGAATTGAAGTCTGTCTTGCTTGAAGGTCACCTTGAGGTCTACCCAGACCTTATTTGAACTAGTGATGGGCAGTTCACTGCCTATTGGCATCCAGCTATCTCACATGGCTTGGGCTAAGCATGAGAAGTTTTTTCTGCTGAACCAAATTGGCTTTTTCCTGATTTCTCCCCAATACACCTGGAAGGAGGATATTGAATCTCTCCCACAGGACACTCTCCTTTAGGAATTTGGAGATGGAGCCTCCCCAATCAAGTTATCCAGATTAAAGAACCCCAAATCCAAGCTCCTGGTCTTCCCACTTCCATCGTCAGTATCCCTCAAACTGGACAGAATAGGAACATGCTTGAAGGGCTCTTCTTCGAAATAAGTTTAATACTCATTTTACATCTGAAAAATGAATATTAATATTCCCCTAAAAGGGGAAGTGATTTGGATGGTTCGACTGCCTCAGAAGAGATGGCTTCTTACAAATACTTTTAAGAGAATTGAAACCAAAAGTGTCTTCTGCATCAAGCTTCAAATTCATGAACCCTGGTGTGAGCATGCTTTTTTTTTTTTTTTTTTTTTTTTTAAAATTTTTTTTTTTTTTTTTTTTTTTTTTTAAAGATTTTATTTATTTTATTTTTTCCCCCCAAAGCCCCAGTGGATAGTTGTGTGTCGTAGCTGCACATCCTTCTAGTTGCTGCATGTGGGACTCGGCCTCAGGATGAACGGAGAAGTGGTGCCTCGATGCGCACCCGGGATCCAAACCCGGGCCGCCAGCATCGCAGCGCGCGCACTTAACCACCAAGCCACAGGGCCGGCCCTGAGCATGCTTCTAAATAATGAAAGTTGACAGGGATAATGTGGCTAGAGCCCTTCTCTAAGCTATGAATGTTGTCTAACGACATCTACCTTTCCTCTAACAGTCTCATTTAGGAATTAGCTTTTAAATGCATTTCTCCTCCCTGGTCTTGAGTACCTGCTGTTGTGTTGGCTATGTATTACCTGACCCCCTCTTTACGCCCCTCTTCTTAACAAGGGGATCATGATGCTTCAAGTCCTTGGGTATCAATGTAAACTTAGACCCTGTGTCAAGTAGTAAAAAAGGAAAAAGAGAGTGGTAGGGATGGGGGCAGGGGGTATCCCTTTAGACTGGAGATCAAGGAAAGCCTCTTCCTTTCCATTATTTTTGAAAGTGTGGTAATTTCTCCATGGACCCCCAGCCTCATGGACCCCACTGGGAAACGTTTCCCCAACTCAGTCCTATGAATAAAAATCACTAGGGGACTACTGAGAACTCTGCATTTAAAAAGTACGGTGGAGGGCCGGCCCCGTGGCTAAGGGGTTAAGTGCACGCGCTCCGCTGCTGGTGGCCCGGGTTCGGATCCCGGGCGCGCACCGACGCACCGCTTCTCTGGCCATGCTGAGGCTGCGTCCCACATACAGCAACTAGAAGGAGGTGCAGCTATGACATACAACTATCTACTGGGGCTTTGGGGGAATAAATAAATAAATAAAATTAAAAAAAAAAAAGTACGGTGGCACAGCGGTTAAGTTTGCGCCTTCCACTTCAGTGGCCCAGGGTTCTCTGGTTCAGATCCTAGGCGTGGACGTACTCACCGCTCATGAAGCCATGCTGAGGTGGCGTTCCACATAGACGAACTAGAAGGACCTACAACTAGGATATACAACTATGTACTGGGGGCTTTGGGGAGAAAAAAGAAAAAAAAAAAAAAGAGGAAGATTGGCAATAGATGTTAGCTCAGGGCCAATCTTCCTCAAACAAAAAAAAAAGAAAGTACACTGCAGTTTGGAAGCTGCTACTGTGAAAGCTCCCAGAGGGCAGGAGCCAAATCTGCCTTGGCGTGGCTGTAACCTTGCTATGTTAGCCACTAGAGCTGTAGAGATTAAGGTCTGGAACTCAGGAGGGTGTGGAAATCATCATCATCACTGCACCCAATGTTACTAGTTTCCAGAGCACTTCTCTGTGATCTAAGCCTGGGTTCCAATTCTGGTTCTGTCACTTAATTACCTGTTGTGACCACAGACAAGTCAATTCACCACTCCAAACTTCAGTTTCCTCATCAATAAAGTGGGAATAGTAATATTCATCTCTTACAAGGATGAAAAAGGATAATCCATATGTTACCGTTATTATCTATGGTTATTATCTGGCATCTCAGCACAGGGCTGAGAGTAAAAGAGAACTGTTGAAATAACTTGCCCCATACCACCCAGCTTTTAAGTGGCAGAACTGGGACTAATTACCCAGAGAAGTAGTTCTAAAGCCTTAATATGCATCAAGATCATCACAAGAGCTTATAAATATGCAAATTCCCAGACCTTACCCCACAACAGTCCAGAAATCTGCACTCTCCACTGATGCCACAGGAGACTCTCACGCTATTGCTCCAGGGGCCTCATCATTCACCATCAGGACACTGACTTATCTCCAGGAAACCGATGAGTTGGGAAGACAGCACATCCTCTTTCAAAGTTACAAGACAAGAGGAAGAAGGGTACCACCAAGTAGTCCTCCCTGAACCATCTGACTTCCTCTTGCCCCCCCAGGAGTCTATGGTGGCCTGAAGGTCAAGTGTATCCTGCCTGAGATTGTCATTTTAATTACATAAGTAATCCACATTCACTGTAGAAAAATTTAAAATAAAGATAAAAGGAGAGGAGTTCAGTATAGTGGTTAAGAGCCCAGCCAACTTTTGGGGGAAAACAAATGTATGCAGAACATTTAGCAAAACTGGCTCAATAGTGAGGGCTCAATAAGTGCTAGTAAAACATTCATTGTAGGCAAAAAGAAAAGAGACCAGGATACAAACCCAGACTTCCACTTCACAACAGGTGCTCTTTCCACAGCTCATAGCTTTTTCCCACCTAGGCCTCCTGATTTCTGTGATTCCATCTATGTCTGTCTGGGGCCGCAATCTTTTTTGTTTTTTTTTCTTGTGAGGAAGGTCAGCCCTGAGCTAACATCCATGCCAATCTTCCTCTTTTTTTTTTTTTTTTTTTTTTTCTGAATGGGCGCCCCCTCCGGGAATCTTTGACCGTCCTCCTCTTTTTTTTTTTTTTTTTTTTTTGCTGAGGAAGACTGGCCCTGAGCTAACATCCGTGCCCATCTTCCTCCACTTTATGTGGGACGCCGCCACAGCATGGGCTGACAAGCGGTGCCTCGGTGCACGCCCGGGATCCGAACCCGAGCCATCAGCAACCACTGCACCACGGGGCCGGTGGGGCCACAATCTTACCCCTCAGAGTGCACCCTCCTCTCCAAACCCTACTACAAGCAGCTGGCAGTGGTAGACAGGCATTCAGCTGGGAGAACATACTCAGCCCCAAGGCTGAGATCATGTATTTGGTGCTAAAAAGCCCCAGCCTCACAAAGGCAAAATCTGTCCTACTTTCAAATCTGTCTTTCACTTCTCGATCTGACTCTTCAAGTTCTTTTCCATCTTAGACCACCCAGGATGTTTATTTTAACCAGATGGATGCACTGGGATTCAGCCAGATTCTCCACTTCCTAAGATAAGGAAAGCCTTGGGTGAAAGCAGAAAGGGAACAACTCTCAGTCCCATAAATACATTCTAGGCAAGGGCTCTCCACCCTAGCTCCCAGCTTGGCTTTGTCTGCTCCTAGAAGCTAAGAGGAGGAACACAGATCAGGTTTCAGATGCCTACTGAACCTCTAACTTGCTGTGTGACCTTGGGCTGGACTACAGGATCTGAGGACCCTTCCAAATATAACTTTTTGTGACACCCCCCTCTTCTCCCATGTAAACACAAACTTAATAAATCTGAGTTAAGATCAGAGCTTTAGGGCCGGCCCCATGGCTTAGCGGTTAAGTGCGTGCGCTCCGCTGCTGGCGGCCCGGGTTCGCACCGACGCACTGCTTCTCCGGCCATGCTGAGGCCTCGTCCCACATACAGCAACTAGAAGGATGTGCAGCTATGACATACAACTATCTACTGGGGCTTTGGGGGCAAAATAAATAAATAAATATAATTATTTAAAAAAAAAAAGATCAGAGCTTTACAATATAATACAATACGACATACAAAGAATTAACTCTTTTGTTTTGGAAGAAATAAAGTTATCTCTGCAGATGATATGAGCGTATATGTAGAAAGCCCTAGGGATTCCACAAAAAAACTGTTGAACTAATAAATGAATTCAGCAAAGCTGCAGGATACAAATATCAGCACATAAAAATCAGTTGTGTTTCTATACACTAACAATGAACAATCCGAAAAAGAAATTAAGAAAACAATTCCATTTACAATAGCATCAAAAAGAATAAAATACTTAGGAATTAACTTAACCAAGGAGGTGAAAGACTTATACACTTAAAACTACAAATTATCACTGAGTGAAATTAAAGATACAAATAAATGGAAAAACATCTCGTGTTCATGGATTAGAAGACTTGATATTGTTAAGCTGTCAATACTACCCAAAGCAATCTACAGATTCATTGCAATCTCTATCAAAATCCCAATGACTTTTTTTTCGGAAATAGAACAACTCATCCTAAAATTCATATGAAATCTTAAGGGACTTCCAATAATCAAAACAATCTTGTAAAAGAAGAACAAAGTTGGAAGACTCACATTTCCTGATTTCAAAACTTACTACAGAGCTACATAATCAAAACAGTGTGCTATTGGCATAAAGACAGACCAATAGACCAGCGGAATAGAATAGAGAGCTCTGAAATAAACCCTTGCATACGTGGTCAAACGATTTCCAACAAGGATGCCAAGACCATTCAATGAGGAAAGGACAGTCTTTTTAACAAATGGTGCTGGGAAAACTGGACATCCCCATGTACAAGAATGAAGTTGGACCCTTACCTAACACCATATAAAAAATTAACTCAAAATGGATAAAGTCCTAAACATAAGAGCTAAAACTATAAAACTCGTAAAAGAAAACAGGTGAAAACCTTGATGACATTAGATTTGGCAATGATTTCTTGGACATGACACCAAAGGCACAGGCAACAACAACAAAAAATGAGACAAAATGGACTTCATCAAAATTAAAAACTTTTGTGTATTAAAGGACACTAGCAACAGAATAAAAAGACAACTCACAGAATGGGAGAAAATATTTGCAAATTACATATATGATAAGAGATTAATAAACAGAGCTCCTACAACTCAACAACAAAAAACTAAACAACCAGACTCAAAAATGGGTAAAGGTCTGGAACAGACATTTCTCCAAAGAAGATATACAAATGGCCAACAAGCACAAGAAAAGATGCTAAACATTACGAATCATTATGGAAAAGCAAATCAAAACTGCAATGAGATAACCACTTTACACCTATTAGGTTGGCTATTATCAAAAAAACAGAAAACAAGTGTTTAGAAGGATGTGGTGAAATTGGAACTCTTGTGCATTGTTGGTAGGAACGTAAAATGGTGCAGCCACTATGGAAAACAGTATGGCGGTTCCTCAAAAAATTAAAAATAGCATTATCATATGATCTAGCAATTCCACTCTGGGTATATACCCAAAAGAATTGAAAGCAGGGATATGAACATATATCCGTGCACCTATGTTCATAGTAGCATTATTCACAATAGCAAAAAAGTCGAAGCAGCCCAAGTGTCCCTCAACAGATGAATGGATAAACAAAATGTGGTATATACATACAAAGGACATTTAACAAAGTTATTATTCAGCTTAAAAAGGAAGGAAATTCTGACATGTGCTACAACATGAATGAACCTTGAAAACAGTATGCTAAGTGAAATATACCAATGAGAAAAGGACAAATACTGTCAGATTCCATTCTCATGAGGTACTTAGTCAAATTCAGAGACCAAAAGTAGAGTGGCAGTTGCCAGCAGCTGGGGTGGGGGGAGAATTGGGAGTTAATAGTTTAATGGGTACAGAGTTTCAGTTTTGCAAGATGAAAGGGTTCTGAAAATAGGTGGTGGTGATGGCTACACAACAAAGTGAATGTACTTCACTGTGCCACTGAACAATACACTTAAAAATGGTAAATTTTGTTATGTATATTTTACAGCAATTTAAAAAAATTTTTAAGCTTTAAAAAATAATTAATTCCATTTTATTCCAATTTTCCCCATCTTCAGTGCCCCCATCAAATCTCACCTGAATAACTTTAACAGTCTTTAAACTAGTCTCCCACCCTGATCCAGTCCTCCAATAGCACCCAGAGTGATCTTGCTAAGACGCAAACCTGAAGAGTGTCCCCTACTCAAATCCTTTCTGTGGCTTCGTCCACCCTTGGGACAAAAACAAATTCTTCAGCATGACCCTCTCCCACCTTCCCCAACTTGTGGCTTTATTCCTTACCATTAGCCAACATGATTTCATCTCCTGGAATGCTCTCTCCCCTTCCCCTCCCTCTTCCCCTTCTTAACTCCTCCTCTTCCTTCCAGTGCTTAGTCTTCCCTAACCCCCAGATCATATTCCCCATTACAAACCTTTACCAATACACCCAGCAGACTGAAAACTTACCATTTTTGTCTTTGACCGTGGGCCAGGTATTCTTCCAACATTCTATGACAGAGTGATCAGTTTGTCTCCAGAGCCGCGGGCCACCAGGGAGTCTGTAAAAGAGGCTGTATACCAATAGTACACTTCCAAACTGGAGTGAGCTGGTTAGGCTTTACCAGAGTTTTGCATATGGGAGGGAAACTGGTTCAGAAAAGAGGCAGGGCCGGCCCCATGGCTTAAGGCCGGCCCGTGGCTTAGCAGTTAAGTGCGCGGGCTCCACTACTGGCAGCCCGGGTTCGGATCCCAGGCGTGCACTGACGCAGCGCTTCTCCGGCCATGCTGAGGCGGCGTCCCACATACAGCAACTAGAAGGATGTGCAGCTATGACATACAACTATCTACTGGGGCTTTGGGGGGGCGGGGGGGAAGGAGGAGGATTGGCAATAGATGTTAGCTCAGAGCCGGTCTTCCTCAGCATAAAAGAGGAGGATTAGCAAGGATGTTAGCTCAGGGCTGATCTTCCTGACAGGAAAAAAAAAAAGAGGCAGGGCTGAAAACAACAAGATCCTGGGGGCTGGCCCAGTGTCGTAGTGGTTAAGTTTGCCCGCTCCACTTCTCAGGCCCCCCTGCTTGTGGGCCTGGATCCTGGGCTGAACCTAGGCACCACTCATCAAGCCATGCTGTGGCAGCGTCCCACATGTAAAATAGAGGAAGACTGGCACAGATGTTAGCTCAGTGACAACCTTCCTCAAGCAAAAAGAGGAAGATTGGCAACATATGTTGGCTCAGGGTCAATCTTCCTCACCCAAAAAAATAAAAATAAATAAAAAATAAAGTATGCCAGCCCCGTGGCACAGCAGTTAAGTGCGTGCGCTCCACTGCTGGCAGCCTGAGTTCGGATCCTGGGCGTGCACTGAGGCACCGCTTGTCACGCCATGCTGTGGCGGCGTCCCACATAAAGTGGAGGAAGATGGGCATGGATGTTAGCCCAGGGCCAGTCTTCCTCAGCAGGACTGGCATGGACGTTAGCTCAGGGCTGATCTCATCACTAAATAAATAAATAAATAGACAAACAAACAAAGTACAGGGAGATTAGCAACAGATGTTAGCTCAAGGCTAGCTCAGGGCCAGTCTTCCTCACCAAAAGAAAAGAACAAGATCCATGTGAAAGTTAGGACTGAAAGTGTGCACCCACTTCAGGTATATGGCCCTCCCACCAGATCCAGACAGGGGAATGTCTGTTGCAGTGTATATCACCTTTGGAGTCCAGCCCCACTCAACCTGCTGAAACAGGATCTTGGGATTGAGTTGTGGTGGAAAACACCAGCTCTGGTACTCTGAAACAGCTCCCTAGGAGATTCTGTTGCTCACCCAAGGTGGAGAACTACAGGTGAATGTTGACAGGTATGCAAAGGATGTTCTGACCTTACTGATATTCTTTAAGACTTAAAGCTTAAGGTTAACAGTACCGATTCTGGAGTCAGACAGATTCAAGTACTAGTTGAGTGATTCTGAGGAAGTTACTTTGCCTCTATAAACCCAGAGAAGTCATGTGCCTTGGTCTCAACTTACTGAGCATGGCACCACCGGGAGAGCTTATTAAAACGCTGATTATGGACCGCACCCCCAGAATTTCTGATTCAGTAGGTCTGGGATAGGATCCGAAAATTTGCATCTCTACTCAAGTTCCCAGATGATGCGGCGGCTGCTGGTCTAGCAACACACTCTGAATCACTGACCTAGCACAATCCATGAATACTCGGATATTCTGATACCTAATAAAGTACTCTCTCCACGTTTTCCCCTCTAAGGAGTCCTCAGCTGGTTCCAACTTGCTATATAGCCTTAGACAATCATTTCCCCTCTTTAGGTCTCAGGGCTCACACTGGCCAAACGGAAGTGCTGGGCATGGCGAGACACTAAGGTATCAGAGAGAAAGAATTAATACCCTGAACAAGGTCCTACGGAAATTTGCAGGGTTAGGGGAGAAAAAGAGCAAGGGTTAACCCCTGAGGCCCAGTCAGGGCCCCCGGGAAGCAAAGTTTGGGCTCAAAAGGACGCCTCAAAAAACGAAGGTCAGCCTTCTGCCCCGCAGCTCGAGGGAACAAGCTGCCGCGGACTGGGCGACGCTCACATCCAACCTACGCTTTCGCTTCAGACACCGGTCTTCAGTCTCCACAGCGCCTCCTCCCGCTGGTATCACCGTCCTCACCAAGATTGTCCCTTTCCTCTCACCCTACCACGCGCCTGGAGGAAGTTGCCGTCACTTCCGTCACGCGTGGAGCGCCTGCGCCGAGGCGACGGCTGCTCTTTCACTCGGACTGCTGCGCGGCCGCCGATTGGCTACGTGGGCACGTCAGCGGGGGGCGCGCGGCGCTGCGTTGCTCCTCCCTCCGGGGCGCCTGGTCTCGGCCAAGCAAACAGAGCTGGGTGGCTTGGCCGACTGGGGGTAGCTGCAGCCCGCCACTGAGCCCGACCGCTGAGCTTGTCGCTGCCGCCGCCCTGCGCGCCGTGACCCGCGACTTCAGACCCCGACTGCCTTTGGCTCGGCCCGCGCGCCCCAGGCCCGGCCCGGGCGGCGCGACGGGAGGATGAGCGGCGGGCGGCGGAAGGAGGAGCCGCCTCAGCCGCAGCTGGCCAACGGGGCCCTCAAAGTCTCTGTCTGGAGCAAGGTGCTGCGGAGCGACGCGGCCTGGGAGGACAAGGTGCGGTTGGACTGGCGAGGGCGCAGGTTCGAGGAGCCAGCTCGGACTCGGGGACGGATGGACAGGCTCCAGCCTGCTCCTGCCGCCGTCCGGGCGCGGCCGAGTGTTCGGCGTAGTGGGGCTGGTGGCCCAAGGGTGTAGGACCAACTTGGCGGGCCCGGCTCCCGGGCTGGGGGCTCACCGCGGAGTTGGGGAAGACGCCTGGGTCACGCGGGGAGCAGCGAGGAGGGGGCGGAGGAGTTGTCACCCGCGGGCAGGGCGTGTGCCCGACAGGCGAGCTGAGTTCGATTTGCCCTCCGCCTTTTGCTCCCTGTAGGAGAGGGGAGACTGAGACCACTTGCAGGGGTGAGTGTGTGTGTGAGAGAGAGAGAAAGAGACAGAGAGAGAGAGACAGAGAGAGAGAGAGAGAAAGAGAGAGACAGAGAGAGAGGAAGAAACCACCAAATATGTGTGAGGAATGGTTGGGGCTTCAGGATTTCCTTACTGGTCACGCGCATTCAGAAGATCTGAGTGTGGGCACTCCCCAACTCTGCTCCGTGGTCTGGAGGAACCATCACATACAGCTTGATTCTGGTTGGCCTGAAAAGAATGTTATTTTTGCAATCTTTCCTTTGCTTTTCGGGACTGATGAAGTGGGTTTTCCTTCCCGGAGTTCCAGTAAGGGGGGAATGGGAGGTGCTTCCTGAGAGTGCCCTTGTCCTGCCCCCAGCCCTGCCCAGCTCTTGTAAAACCTTTCTGATCTGCTGTGTCATTTCTTTCCTTTTACTGTAAGGACTGGTTTCTGCAATCTAGGGCAGGTCAGAAACTTGAGTCTTCATGTCCTTGTGTGAAATTTAGATAAGCTGGCACCTGTCTCTAGCACTTTTGTATCTAATTCTTTCTCTCCTTTGTCACTTACTCAAAATTCAGTGTGCAGGAAGACGGTGCTGAGTAAGATAACAGTCAGCCCTTCTGTCTCTGGATAGTCTGTTTAGGTCTCCCCAGATCACATAAGAGTTATCCTTGGCCAGTAGCACAATTACTGTCACAGCCATTTCGTCACAAGCCATTTCATTTTTGCAGCTTCTAAAAAAGGTAAATGATTTTTCTAAAATTTTGATTTAGAGCACAGGCCCTGGAAGTTATCACTTAAAATAACTAAATATATTGCTTTTTACCACATTTTAGTATAAGAAGAGTTGGAGATGTGAGAACCACATACCATTGCTTTTGGGGGGATAATTCCCTGGAAGAAGTGTTTAGCAGAAAGTTTCTCTGTTCCTCACTTATTACAAAAGGCTCTCCTATGGCACCCACTCCAGATAATGCATGCATTCTTTCTTTTTCTACAGGATGAATTTTTAGATGTGATCTACTGGTTCCGACAGATCATCGCTGTGGTCCTAGGTGTCATTTGGGGAGTGTTACCATTACGAGGTTTCTTGGGAATAGCAGGGTAAGTCTTAGGTAGTTTGCATTTTCATGGTATCATTTCTTTTCAAATCGAGATTTTGTTTTCCTTCTACAGAAGGCCATTGCTACTTTGGAGGATTTTTTTTTTTTTAATGTGTGTGTGTGTGCGTGCGTGCGTGTGTAATGACTAAAGGAAAAAGTGGCCCCATGGCAGCACTCCTCAGTTCAACAAGCCCAGGAGCATCTTAGGTCAGGCATGTTACCTTCCCGAAGGCTGAGCCAGTCCATTCATTCGTGGGTCCAAACTGACCTCATGCAGGAGGCTACCACATTGCCTGTTGGTGGCAGGCAC